TTCAAGTTATCGATTTCTCGACCAAATCGGATTTTTGTTTTAAATTCACGAGAATACCACTTATTTATTTATTTAACCGTGTGGCTTGTGGCCTGAAACGATGGGAAGCAGTGACGCAGCGCTGCGCTACGAAGCCGACAAGAGACCCCAGCTCGATTCGCGCTCGCGGCAAACAACGCCCGCGACGATTATCTGAACCCGTGACCGGGCCTCCCTCTAGGTGAACTCAGCCTCAAATGAATACCCGGTGCGTTGTGGTGTAGACATCGCCACTGGGGAGAAAAAGGCGGCCGGGGCGTGCGTGGTTCTGGGCCACCCACCTCCTCGTGCGCCGTGCCTGCCTTCATAGGTGCTGCTCGCAAACGGCGCTTGCCCCCAAAAAGTCTGCTGAGGCTAAAATACGAGGAGGGGGGGGGGGATCTTTGTCTTTGTGATGGTGCAGTGGGAGAGTATCCGCCGCTAGATGGAGTCCTGCACGCGCGCTCCAAGCGAAGCCTCCATTCACAAAAGGGGTGGCATTCATTCTCAACATTGTCGGAATTGGGTTTTACCCTTCCTAGCAATACAACGGGAGGTGTCAAGATGTCGAAACAACAAACAGAAACCTTTAGCAAGGAATCAAGCCTGCATCAAACCACACGTACTCGCGGTGAACATGCGAACGCCAAACATTCTCAACATCTTCGATAGGCAGCGTCCACGAAAGCCGCTGGTGCCACGAGCAGACACGTGCCGTAGTCGCCGTGAAGACGGCTCATTTAGTAGCAGCAGCAGCAGCAGCAACTCCATTCAACTTCACGACCGAGATACGGCGACGGTGGCGTGTTCGCCGCTCGTTGTTCAGCCAAAGGGTCGGCAGTTCGGTTTCCAGCGGAGGTCCCCCGACCAACGCCGCCGCCGACAGGGGGAATTTGGTGTTAAAAGACGCCCTCGAACGGCACCTCGAAGACAGCCGGTATATTCACATGGGGCACACAGGAGGAAATGTCAGCCAATCGCGAGCAGTGGAAGAAGTGACCGCTGTAAGCCGACTCGGCCAAGACGGTTGAAGAAGACAAAAAGAGAGAAAAAAATGCCCATCGGCATTATCAACAACAGCAACGCCACAACACAACACCATAACACGAAATCCCATTCAGCAGACGATCAGCAACTCCTTGGCCACGGTGCGTCCCACGCTTCCGCTGCAAGGAGCTGGGCCTCTCATCCCACCAGCGCGCAGGGAAATGCCACGAGCTCGCTGTTCTGCGCAGTCATCGTCGTTTTGCGATGGACAGCCGAGGAAGAAGATGCGGTGCTAACCACAGAGGCGGTGAACTTAACACGGGCAGGAGGGCGGGCGGGCGCCCGTCTGCCTTCACAGCGGACGGGTTATAACACGAAAACAGATCCCGTGGGGTCCATGGGAAGCGCAGGCGTTGTGGTTTCACATTTGCCACGTAAGAAAAAAAAACACCCGCAAATGACTCAATTCAAAATATTTAGACTGCAGGAATCCGATGAGCTATAAAGCTCTTTTTTCCACCGATGCCCAGGAGGACGATTGGGATAATGCACACAGTGACCCCCCCCCACCCCGCTTACTGCAAACAAAAACAAGCTGGCAGTACCCGCTGGTAAATATCAATACCATACCGTCTGTGTCTGGAGGGGAAGGAGGCGATTACCACCGTCGCTTCCCCCAACTGCCCGCTGAGATCCGCCACCGGGTTTGGGAGGATGGTTTTGGTTAAAAAAAATTGTTTGGGGTGGAAATTAGTTGGCGAGGGTGCATAGCTAGGGCTAGTGCTCTGGCCTTGGCTGGATATATTGTTAGCGTGAGGGCTAGCGAGAAGAATATGGCCGGGCTAGTTTTTAAACAAACACATTTTTGTTGATATTATACATGGAACAAAAAAATGGTCTTGAGACGGAGCGTCTCGTTTGCGAGCGATCCATGGTGCTTGTTCGTTGTTGTTATTGTTGTTTTTTAGGGCCAATGTTGTGGGAGTATTGGCAGCCTAGAGGACTCGACTAGTTCGTGAGGTCACTGCTCGGCTCTGGGTTTTGCCGAGTGGTTCGGGCAAGGGCTCGCGTCTGCCTGGCTAACTTGTGTTGGCTCGTGGGTCGAGTCGTATGTCCAGTCTTGTGAGTTATTCACCCCATTGTTTGATTGGCGATACTACGCTGTTATTTTTATTTCACCAGATAAGAGGACCACTGAGATATATGGCTCTTTTTCAGAAGCGCAGCCAAACAAATACTCTGAACGCGTGATGTCGATTCTAAAAGTGGAGGGGAAAACCGGAGGCCCCGGAGAAAAATCCACGCGACCACGGGGAGAGAGAGACACGCAAACTCCAAATATACAGCAGCAGGCGTCAAGGTCGAACCCACTAACTCCTGTATACCAGACGAGGTAGTTAAAATCTCCTAGCCACCGTGATGGTGATGATGAGAGAGAGACACGCAAACTCCAAATATACAGCAGCAGCAGCAGGTGTCAGGGTCGAACCCACGACCTCCTGTACACCAGGCGAGGTAGTTAACATATCTTAACCACCGTGATGATGATGAGAGAGACACGCAAACTCTAAATATACAGCAGCAGCAGCAGGCGTCAGGGTCAGGGTCGGGGTCGAACCCACGACCTCCTGTACACCAGGCGAGGTAGTTAACATCTCATAGCCATCGTGATGATGAAGATGATGAGAGAGAGAGACACGCAAACTCCAAATATACAGCAGCAGCAGGTGTCAGGGTCGGGGTCGAACCCACGACCTCCTGCAATCCAGGCGAGGTGGTTAACATCTCCACCGTGGGACTCGTACTGCTGCTGCAGTGGTGCACGGAGACAAAAAAACAAACACAACAAACTCAACACCGTTCGTTAATAATACAGCGGCCTTTAAAAAAAAAGTTTATAATAGACGACGTTTCGGGCAATGGCCCTTTGTAATACCACACACACGAGGCCTTAGCGATTGATAATCACCGTGGCCGTTTCACTCGTTCGTCACGTTCTGGTGGCGACAGCGCCACCTGGCGTTGGGCTTCAATGGGAACTTGACGCTCCAAGGATGAACGAGACATTCCACATTCCGGGTTTGCCATCGCGCCGGCCTCATTCCCCCCCCCCACCCCGTGCCGGATGAACCTTCCAAGGTGCCAAAAAACGAGACCATTCACCGTTGGGCAGCAGAGGAACTGAAGAAGCTCCCCAGCTCGTACACGCCCAAAGAGTGTAGTCACCCTCTTACCCCTGGTGGATCTCAAGTGTAGTCACCCTCTTACCCCAGTGGGATCTCGAGTGTAGTCATCCTCTTACCCCTGGTGGATCTCAAGAGTGTAGTCACCCTCTTACCCCTGGTGGATCTCAAGAGTGTAGTCACCCTCTTACCCCTGGTGGATCTCAAGAGTGTAGTCACCCTCTTACCCCTGGTGGATCTCAAGAGTGTAGTCACCCTCTTACCCCGGTGGGATCTCAAGAGTGTAGTCATCCTTATACCCCTGGTGGATCTCAAGAGTGTAGTCACCCTCTTACCCCTGGTGGATCTCAAGAGTGTAGTCACCCTCTTACCCCTGGTGGATCTCAAGAGTGTAGTCACCCTCTCATCCCTGGTGGATCTCAAGAGTGTAGTCACCCTCTTACCCCGGTGGGATCTCAAGAGTGTAGTCACCCTCTTACCCCTGGTGGATCTCAAGAGTGTAGTCACCCTCTTACCCCAGTGGGACCTCAAGAGTGTAGGCACCCTCTTACGCCTGGTGGATCTCAAGAGTGTAGTCACCCTCTTACCCCGGTGGGATCTCGAGTGTAGTCACCCTCTTACCCCTCGTGGATCTCAAGTGTGTAGTCACCCTCTTACCCCGGTGAATCTCAAGACTGTAGTCACCCTCTTACCCCTGGTGTATCTCAAGAGTGTAGTCACCCTCTTACCCCTGGTGGATCTCAAGAGTGTAGTCACCCTCTTACCCCTGGTGGATCTCAAGAGTGTAGTCACCCTCTTACCCCTGGTGGATCTGAAGAGTGTAGTCACCCTCTTACCCCAGTGGGACCTCAAGAGTGTAGTCACCCTCTTACCCCAGTGGGACCTCAAGAGTGTAGTCACCCTCTTACCCCTGGTGAATCTCAAGAGTGTAGTCACCCACTTACCCCGGTGGATCTCAAGAGTGTAGTCACCCTCTTACTCAGGTGGATCTCAAGAGTGTAGTCACCCTCTTACCCCTGGTGGATCTCAAGAGTGGTCACCCTCTTACCCCTGGTGGTTCTCAGAGCGTAGTCACCCTCTTACCCTGGTGGATCTCAAGAGTGTAGTCACCCTCTTACCCCTGGTGGATCTCAAGAGTGTAGTCACCCTCTTACCCCTGGTGGTTCTCAAGAGTGTAGTCAGGATCTCAAGAGTGTAGTCACCCTCTTACCCCTGGTGGTTCTCAGAGCATAGTAACCCTCTACCCCACGTGGTCCGGGTCACTGTGATGCAAATGGAGGTTAATTCGGAAACGACAATTCATATTCAATGAATATTTTACAATGGTGAAATAAAAAATGAAGTTAGGTAAACTTCCCTAATTAAACAAGATATAAATGCCACCCTCCTCCTAAAAAAATACCTTTAGCTGCGCAATTTTTTGTTTAATGTTCCGGTAACAAGAATATATTTTTTTATCCGTGCTGTATTTGGAGAGACGCGAATGAGTTCTCTCACCAGCGGTTGGGGGTTGCTGGGCAGTCCACGGGCCAAACGACTTTGAGAACCACGGGGCCCTGCATACCCCAACCTCGTTGAAGTCACACAGGGGCCTTGCGGCACGAACAGTCACTACCCTTTGGTTCTTTCGGTTAAAGTCGCGTAGTTAGTCACTCCGTGACTTTACCGAAAGAACCAATGGGGCACGGATTCCTGCAGTCACGAAAGCTTCAAATCAAGAACAGTCACTGTTGGGGTGCAATGGCTTTGTTCACGTCACGCGCCGCTGGGAGCACGCGCCGTGGAGGAAGGTGCGCGCCAGTGCCACCGAGGTCGACAACGTTCCAAGGAAACTGTTTATTTGTCAAAATGTTACACCTGCTTAAACTGCGGGAAGGGGGAAAAAAAAAGAATCTGGAATGCAGTTACCAAAATGCAAACTCTTCTATAAAACGATCATGCAAACACGTAAGGTAATATATACGCCTCGGCTCAAAACTTTTTTTAACGGCTACCAAATTTCTCAAGATGCTCGGGCCCAGGACGTTGCGAGCGATGCCGGTAGCTCCCCTAGCCACGCCAACTCTACTGCAAGCTCCTCCGTGGCCCCGCCCACCTACTCAGTTAGCCACTCCCACAGGTAAGCGCCGCCCTCTTTGTCAACAGGTGAGACCAGCCAGAAACGTAAAATAAAAGGGATAAATTCTGGGCGACTTGACTTTCTGGAGGGGGAAAAAATAAAATTTCACCCCGCAGCATCCCGGGCCAAACCATGGGATTTTGGTAGCTTCAATGAACAAACTACACACGACATCGCAAGTAAAATCCACACTCGAAAGTGTCCCCCCCCCCCCACCACTTACTACTGCTGCACCACTGCCGAGTAACCGCGCGCACAGCCTCTGAGAACAAGCAAAAAAATCGGTCGCTAACCAAAATAAAACCGGGCGTGTGCTTTTGCAGAGATTGAACGGCAGAAACCCTCTTCCCCGCTGCCGACGAGTACACCTCCACGCGTTTACTTTTCCTAGCAAGATTTTTCGTTGTGGCTACTTCCGTAGCTTGGCCATCGAGGACGTAGGCGGTGCGACTGCAACAGAGGCCCACAGATCCCAGGCTGAATCAAGGGATGAGCGACAGGGCCAGGGGGCGCTATGCATTTCCTTGCGCTCAGGACCATGTCCACCACGCCACGCCAATGAGGTGACCCCTCTACTCATAAAATCCCCCATTGTAGCTCATCTTACAATGGCGTTGCGCCTTTTGATCGCGTATCCTCCCGATTTAATTTCCTCCTGTACCGAATAAACTAGCCGAGGCATTGGCCTTCACAGCATGATTCACGAAGCAGTGTTACTCGCGGCAAATGGATACCGACGTTGGCGATGGCGGCGACCGTCAAGGGGGCTTGTGAAGAGCGATCGTGCTCATCTGTAGCTCCAACTAAACGCAACGCGCGTGATTGTGGTGGTGCACGCATCTCTACGTATCCCAACCCCCTCCACCTGGCTCGGGAGCGGTCGTCGCACGCGATGTGGTTGTCACTCTGCAGTGGTTGCCCATCAACAGCCTCTCGATGACCTTTATAAGCTAACGGAGTGGCACGGCGACGCCAGCCTCACCTCGACAAGGTGTCGTGCACGAGACGCGGTTAACGATTCGCCCCGCCGGCGATTCGATGAGAACGGTCACGGTGCGGGGACTGCGCTTTAATTCCAGAATAGATTGATCTCTTTAAAAATACTCATTTGTACCGTCCGGGTTTCTCCTGGCCATCTCAGATGTTCCGTTTCATCCGCGTCAATTATCGTCACGGAGCTATTCAACCGCACGTTGGCGAGCCAGGATCGGTTCACATATCAATCGCCACCGATGTTAGCCGTGAACGTTAAACACTTTTCAGCTCGCTGGGTTCAGAACGCGACGTGCCAACCCGCCACATTCTCTTTCCCGTCCACTCAGCCCCACAACAAATTAGCAAATCGTAAACAACCGCCTCTTTCTCGCGCGTGCGACCGGACACGGGTATCGCGAGCGTACTAGAACGTTCCTTTTAATAGACGAATCGTACAAGTCCTGGGTTGGCACCGTACCTCAACTAGAAGCCGTTCCTACCAAATCCACCGTCACCGCCGCTTCGTCTGCTGCTACGTAGGGGAGCAAACGCGGCGGCGGTGGCAGCGGCGCACCCCCCACATCCCACCCTCTGGCGTGGGTGAGAACGACCACCCGGGCCGAAGACTTGCGTCTCCATCGGGGTGGACACACACACACGCTTGACCGTCAAACGCACAATTTAGTTACGCTCGTCAAACCTACAAGCAGAAATAATAATTGTCACTACAGGGGGGGGGCGGCCGGGCGGGGGCTGTGCTACCGATTGATGGGCCATTTACCCGTGCTGGTGCCCAAGGTGTTGACGCTCACGGTGATGGGGCTAACGGCGATGCGGCCACGTGATGGGGCGATGGCGATGCCCAGCGGAGTGAGAGCTTCTGCCTCGTTCATGTAAAACACTGACTCAGGAGCGTGGAAAAGGCCATTCTGCAGTTGAACACACTCACGTATAAAACAATGAAATTACGAGCGACTGTGTGATCCAGAGGTTAGGGTTTTGGGGGCACTATGGTTAGAGTCGTAGATAGGGTCGTGGGTTTGGGTTCAGGTCGGGGTTTGGATTAAGGTTGGGGGGGGGGGGGGGTTTCGGGGTTAGGAGCAAGACTTTGGGTCATTCATAATGAACTGCAATCAGTGTAATTGCTGTTTCAGCTTACGACAATGCTGTAGATCTAATTACAATTGCCCCGGGGTCTGGTTGGAAGGTTGAGAGTGAAGAGGTCGGGTGTGTGATCACGCGCCGTGCAGGATAGCGCTGCAGTTGGCGGTCGTGATGATGGGCGATCGGTGGAGCGGGGCGAGGAACGGGACCGTCCTTCGTCCGTCAGTTGGCGTATAAAAACGCGGGGGGGGGGGGGTCATCGCGGGGTCGTTGCGGGCTGCCCGTGCTCGCCTTGACTGGGTGGTTGTGGGGGGTGAAGAGGTCAATAGGTCACACGACCTCGACCTCTGGCCCTTCCCCGGAACCCTCCTCGACCACGGTCTGCTGAAATGTAAAAAGACAAAAAAGAAACACATCAAAACTCACGCCACACAATCCCAGGGGGAGATAAAGGTGCGAGACAGGCGCTGCATCATGAGGTCGCGCTCACACAAAGTTCCCGTCACAAATTAACCTCAATACCTTGCGGATCGTGTCAAAGAGAATAAATTATCACGCAAACTCCGGTCACAATCGCAGCAGTGGCTTTTGGCTGGTAATCGAACAAATGCGGTCACCGCATCACGCGCTTTCGAGGCCGTCTGGAATGTTCTTCTTTCCGATATTAAGAAGCCACCGGAGCAACGCATTTTTAAAGCTAGATTGAAAACTCATTTCTATATAACTGCTCTTTGTGATTATTTTGTTGTCCTTCCCACGCACTTCCCATTTGCTCAGTTGGCTACATATGCTGAGAAAGAAGTTCTACGTACATATAGGCTGTGGAGGGGCTGCGTTGTGGGTGGCAGAAGGCTGTTCGGCAAAACCCTTCATTGGCACCGTTCTTCTACATTCTGGCATTCTGAACCAACCCGCACCGACGACGGACCAGCGTAGCCAAGTGTGGTCAAACAATCCCCACGACCAACGCAATGTGGAAGAGGAGGGGGCACCTTCGCCCACTATCGTATCGATGCCTGCAAACCGTTGTTACACGATAACATTATCATGACTCTTGTTGTAAGCGGTGGACGAGTACAACAACGCCGCGGACACTTTAAAAGACGCACGATGTCACGCCGTAGAGGCGGCCAGCAACGAGTGGCGGGCGGGACTGCTCACCGTAGGAGCTGTAGCTCGTCATGTTTCCGCTGTACTTGCCGCTGGGAGGGCGGTACGTTTGTCGCTCGTCCCTCCTGGGGCCCACCAGTCTCTTGGCCGCAGTGTCCTCTTCGCCCAGAGACCGGCGCTTTTGCCTGAACGAATGCCACGCACGCGCGCGGGGGCGAGAGAGGAGAGCACACGGGTAAGAGAGGCGCACGTGGGAATTACGATGGCAAAAAGCGATCCCGAAAACGTCACGAGAGGAATAAAAAAATAGCACAAATTGCGAGCGCACGTGTCCGCCGAAGCGTTGAACTAGCGGTAATATCGACACTTTCGGAGCTGCGCGAGATAACGGCATAAGCACGACGTCGGTAGGAATTCGTTGTGGCGTCAACGCGACGCAAGGTCACGGGAGGGGGCGGGGGGCACCCCAACGCCACTCACCCAACTTCGGCCGCCGGCGCCACGGAGGCAGCGGTGGCGGCGGCGGCGGCAACGGCCTTCTGCACCGGCTTCCACGACAGCGTGATGGCGCTCTTGTAGGACGGGGGGTTGTGGAAGAGGTCCTGCAGACATGGAACGCACGGGCAAGGAGGAGACGAAGGGCAATTCCAACAGCGGACCGGCACACAAACCAGACGCGGCACGGCAGGAGGGGGTGGGGGGGACGAGGTGGTGGCCCGACGGCTCGGTGGCTGACCTTGATGAGGATGTTGATGTTGTTCGTTATCTTTAGCGCCACCACCTTTATTTTGTTCTGCGAAAAAAAAATTCAACGTCACGTTTTAGAGTTGATTCGTGCTTTCTACGCCAATGCACCACCAGCTCTCCCTCTCTCCACAATACAGCCAAATATATCACCCCATCGTGAACAAAAAAAGTTTCGATTGAATAAGATATTGTTTCTCTCTGAATGTTTCAAAGCAACGTCAATAATCATGAGCAATTTTCATTGCAATCCGTAATGGATTTTTGGGTTATGGCACAGTGTAGGCCACAGTTCCGTTGCAAGACCCGAACCCCGCCAACCGACATAATCGAACACTTTAAACGGTCTCACGTGTGCGTGTCACATGCCAACTATTATAGGTTTGGCGCAACAATCAAGTGAACATATGAAAATGTGCAGGTGAGTGTTACAGTTGAATGTCAGAATCAAAAAGATTCATTTATACTGCAGGAATCCGATAAGCTATAAAGCTCTTTTTTTCACAGGATGTCCAGTAGCATGTAGACAGTTGGTCAGTGGAAGTAGCGATCGATAGGGTGGGTGGCTAACAACAATCCCGGTGGCCTGTCTCCCCAGTACACTTTAAACGCTCGTAACACGTGACAATTAAATGCACTCGGCTGTGTCGGGTTCGTGGTTTATTTAGGTTCCATTAGGGCCCAGATAAAAACCCCATTGGACAATGCAAATTCTCGATCAGGACCCGGTTACACAATGGAAATCTGGTTACTACTATAGCAACAAATACACCACGAACAAAATAAAACAAAAACTGTGGACATGGTCAAAGGCTGTGTATTGATGTGGTCGAGGGTTTTCACGAAATAAATTTGGCCAGATCATAACGTTACCCATCCCCAAAAGTCAATTACCAAGTGATACTCCTGAAGAGTAATAGATCATTTGAACTGGATAGCCCAGTCATAACGTTTTCCTGTGAGCTCAGAGCTGAACGGACAAACCTCCTGTGTCTTGAGAGTATCGCCCGTCTTGCCCTGCAGCGCAGACCTCAGCTGCTTAATGTAGACCTGGGAACCTCGGGCAAAATACTGCAACCTGCAGACACACAAAGACAAAGATCCCCCGTAAAGCCTTAAAAGACTGCTGGGGCATGTGCCGTTAGCGAGTAGCACCTATGAATGCCGGAAGGGTAAAACGAGGAAGTGGGTGGCCAGCACAACGCCTGGCCGCCTTTGTCTCCCGAGTGGTGATGTTTACACACCGCACCAGGTACTCATTTGAGGCCAAGTCGACCTCGAGGCAGCCCGGGACCAGTTCAGATAATCGTCACTGGTGTTGGCCATGAGCGGGAATTGAATTTTGGTCACCGGGTTCATAGCGCAGCGTGCTCACCACTGCACTCCCACTCACCACAATATACTGTACATATACACTGTACACTACCGCTTATATATACTGTACATTCTTAAAGGCACAGGGCAAACACCGACGAGTCAATTATTTAGAATCTACGCAAACGGCGCGCAAATTATTTGCTAACATTACTATGAGGCCTCGTAGTAATGTTCTTTCGCGTGGCTGATGTAGATGCAGAGCAACAACAACTATTTCAAATTCAAGTGGTCAAGCCGGACAGCCGCGTAAAGAGCAGCGTAGTCTGTCATTGTGGATTGGGCATTGCGTTTTAAAATGTTGCATGGTCCTGTTCTGGATGACCATTCACACAATGGATAGTTTATAATTAACGATTCCGGAATCGGACTACATCGCACCACTTAACCATAACCAAGCCACATAAAAGCAGCGGCGGCACGCCGAGGGCTGGCGATCGAGCGGGTGGTTACGGGAACACGCGTACGCGCGTCACGGCTCGCTCCCCCGTAGCCGCGTAGCGCTCCCCGCCCCCCGACCCCTCCCCCCACCATACATACCGCAGCTTGAAGTCCTTGAGCCGCTCGGCGCTGCCGGCGTCGGTGAGGAACGCCGGCGTGCGGCGCGCCAGCTGGTGGAACGTGTGCATCAGGCACTCCACCATGCTGAACTGCAGCTTCGGCTCCTCGGAGGCCCCGGCTGCCGCCACTGCCACCGTTGCCGCCGCCGCTGCGCCCGCCGCCGGCGCCGCCGCCTCCGCCGCAGCCGCTGGCGTTGCAGTCACCGCCGGGCCGTCGCCGTTCTCCGTCTCCTCCGGCGGCGGCGGCATGTACTCCTGTCGGCAACGAACAAGAGATGCACACCCACCCCAACGCTTGGAGGTTGTAGCTTTAGCAGAATCTCTGGGCAAGTGGCGTCACCGAGCGACTGCAAAGGCCGGCGTGGCGCGCGCGGTTTGCGTTCGTCTTGCCAGCATGTACGTACGTGTGTTGAACCTCTTTGGCACCGTACGTAGGCAACCGTGCTAATCGGAAGTGCGGGGTGAAGGACACCAGTATGAAGAAAAAAAATGTGGCCAGCGGAGGAGAATGAGCATCCCCTCCCACTGAGCGAGGGTGGACTGGGCGGCGGTGCCAAGGGGGGTACTGAGAGGAGTCGTCAGTCCGAGGTGGGCGAGGGATCTTACGAGGAGCTTGGTGAATATCTCCTTCACGTTGCTCTCCAGCTTTTCGTTGTCGACGCCGTAGAACAGAGACATCTCAGCCAGCAGTTTCAAAACCTGCGCGGCGGGAGGCACGAGGCAGCGTTCAACAGTTCAACTTCCACTCGCTCGATAATTAAATACATCCAGCGTACACCCACGTGTGTGTGTGTGTGTGGGGAGGCTTGGTTTTTATGATGGACTCCCCTTGAGCTTGAAGGTGTGTGCACGTGTGGTGCTGGCCACCCCGGTTCGATTTACTCTCAAGGTCAATGCCAGTGACGCTTATTCTGAGCATGGTCCAGGGACTCCCCTAGGTCGACTCCGTCTCAAATGAGTACCTGGTGCGGTGTGTAAACGTCGCCACTATGGAGACAAAGGAGGCCGGGCGCGGTGCTGGCAATCCGACCCCCTCGTGTGCCGTTCCGGCCTTCATAGGTGCTCGCTAACAGCACTTGCCCCTACAGTCTGTTAAGGCTATATGGGGGAACTTTGCCTTCGTGGTGCTGGCAACACTACCATCTCGTGCACTGTCCCAGCCTTCATTGGTGCTCGCTAACACTTCTTACCCCCCTCTATATAGCTATGGTGCGGGGGGGAGGGGAGATAGTGTAGTGGTTACCACACTGTGCTATGAACCTGGTGAGACAAAGGTGGCCAGGCATGGAATTGGCCACCCACCCCTTCGTGTGCCATACCGCCATTAACAGGCGCTCGTCGCTTCGAGCACTTGCACCCCCCAAAACAGTTTGTTTGAAGGCTAAACAGGGTAGGATATCCACCTTTGTCAATCTTTCTTGCTGGACTCACCTCGAGTTGCGTGTTGCTACTTTCCTCTCCTGGCAGGAGGCTCAGGTTTGGGAGGACGCGCTGGCAGAAGTACGTGACGAACGGTGTGGAGTGCACGTTTTTCTGGTGAAAACAGAAGCGGAGGCAGCCGTGTTTCACAGGCACGTAGAATCTGCCGATAGATAGGGGGGGGGGGCGATGCTCTGCAGTTGTTTTACCCACTAAGTAACCCGAGTTACATTTTCAAATTTGCTAAATTTGGACCGTGACGCCGGGATGGACCACGCACAATCTTCGCTTATTATACCGATGCCATGGAATATTCATATAATGTCCACTGCGAAGCAGTCTTCGCATATTTGTGGTTTACACATCCGCAGTATTACCTCTTTCCCATTATAACGATATACGTGCACGTCATTAAAACGGAATCTGAAGAAAAACTACAATAACTTTAATCGGCGCATCTTCAGGTCGGACTACCAAGGCTCCCACAACACCATGCAGGAATGCGCGTGGCACAGTTTGGCGCCAGCTATCAGAGAGCGGCCGTGTCACCAAGCTTCTCTGCGGCGAGAATGTCTTTAAAAACAGCGGCGCTATGGCTAGATAAACGCTAACCGCTTGCGTGCTCCAAGACTCAGCGGTGGACGGGGCGCACCCCTGTAACTTGCAGACATCTTGGAATGGGAAAGGGTTAACCAGGGCAACCGACGGGCATGAACGGGGCAACCTCTGCAGCAAGCGCTTAAAGCTCGCGGCCCCATGGCAACGTGACCGCCCCGCAGGCCGTCGTTTACCCACCCCTTGCTGTACCCCTGAAGTTTATTTAACGACTTGAAGACCGGACGATAAAATCAATTTTCACTTGGTCGCGAGGGAAGCGGCTGGGGAGGCATCGCGGACTCACGGAAAACAGCGGCAGCGCCTGTCTGGTGCACTGCAGAAGCCGATCAACGGCGTCCGGATCCGCCGGGTTGAACTCCTGCTCCAGGTCGGCCTGGTCAACCACCAGGGCCACCAGCTGCTGCCGCCCGCTCACGGACTGCAGCGACTTGAGGCCGGAGAGGAGACGCATGAAGGACATGAACTCCTCGCCCGTCACATCTTCAAGCACCTGCATGCACATTCACACAGGGGGTCACCTGCTGCTGCTGCCGCCGGTTCTGTTACTAGTTTTGCTGCTGCTGTGCAGGCCGTGGGGGTTACTTTACCATACTTCGCCAGTCTGGATGTGTGTGGGTTGCAGTCAAGGACCCCAGATTTGGGAACATACAGGTGCAGTACACCAATAGATTTGCTGCACTGCCATCCACCACAAACAGCACGGTTGGCTACATACAGTGCGAAAGAGGTTCAACAAATTTACATAGCCGAGTATCCTTTAACACCCTGTTATGCATGGCGATCACCCGTCCAAGCATTATTCAAGCTCGGTCCTCTGCTAAGCTTCCGAGATGTGCCGAGATCAGGTGAATTCTGGGCGACTTCGTTCATCGGGCTTCCGACCGAAATGAAAGAGCTGACCTTCTTGCACTCCACCATGATGTACTCCTCCACCTCCTTGGTGAGCACCTCCTCGGGTTGGGTCTTGAGGCGCGTTGAGAGGAACTTGATAGCCCTCTCCCGCACCACATCCTCTCCCTGCAGAATCTGTGTGAAGAGCCCTCCCAGCGTCCCTGTGCGTAGCAGCGGTAGCACGTGTAGCAGAGCTGTGAGTCTATCCGGCGATCGCCGTATCTCCAAGCACCTCAACAATACCAGTTACTGGCAAGATGGAAGCCGTTAAGACAGATGTTCGGGATCAATCCGAGTCCGAGCCAATTTTGCAAGACTTAAAACAAACATTATTATTCCAAAGAGCTTACCACGTGTGATCCAGCCTGCATTCGTGGTGGACTCGACTTGTGAAGAGTGCACGGTAAAAGATGTTCAGACTTTAAACTAACGAGACTTAAATCATGGGCGGGGTGATGGCCGGCACGAGTGGCCGTGGGCGGGGGAGGGAGGTGATGCTGGGGTGGAGCCTCCACCATGAAATACCCATTTGGAATATACACAGAAATCGGCCACGCCCCGACTGAAAACACTTTTAAGGACCCACCTGAAAGTTATGATTCAGTGAGGCTTCCGTGTGAAGAAACAGAACTCTTTAGCCCACCCAAGTTCACTCCTTAGTGGTAAATGACTGTTTTGGTGGCCCCAGACCCAACAGCTCTCCTGCACCCCCCCACCTCCTAACATCTTAGAGGAGTTGGAGTCCGGAGTTAAAGAGTCGGGCAAGGGTGGGTTGTCCCGTGATGTTAACTCAGTGCACCGAAAAGACCACGTATAACCATTACAGATTGTACTGCTATTTCTATAGCTTGTTTAAAGTTACAACAGATATAGAAATCAATGAGGTAAAAAAGCACGACTGAAACCACGAGCCGATTGTGAACCGCACAATCCAGTGCCACAGTAGTCAATGTAAAGTACAGTAAGAAACGGTGACTATCTGGTGCGTGACATTATTGCGCCGCGCTGAAAGGCAGCAAGCGCTCGCGTGCTGTCCGCGATTTGGACAGTTTAGTTTCAGCTTCGGGAGTAGGAAACGTCAAATTTTTCCATCTTTTTATCATCATCCCCACCACCAAAAAAAACCCCTTATATTCAGAAGGAGGTGGGTGGCCAGCACCATGCCCGGCCGCATTTGTCTCCCCAGTGGCAATGTTCACACACCACACCAGTTAATCGTTTGAGGCTGAGTTGACCTGGGGGGGGCTCAGGACCGGTTCAAATAATCGTCACCGGTGGTGGCCATGAGCGGGAATCGAACTCGGGTCGCCGGGTTCGTAGCTCAGCGCGCTACCCACTACACTACAATGCGTTACGCTTCCACATGCGAGGGTCACATGACAGATTTGACGTCACAGCTCACTTGGCGTGCAACAAATATATGCATTATTGAGCTCCCCCCCCCCTCCCCAAAAAAAACCACAAAAGTATATTTTTTATAATTTTTGCATGGTGTACAGTCTGGAAAGTACCTGCATGGCAAATTTCCAGTTTGTTGCATGTCGGGAAGTACGCTAAACATTTTGAACAGACACATTCGCAACTTTGCCTTTTATATATATGTGGAGATATGTAAAATCCGCCAACATAGTTTCAGCGCACACTGTGCTGTGCGCCAACAACCACCACAAGCCATTTTAATGCAGTTTTTTTAATCGTACTTCGCACTTACCATCCCAACGCATCACAGTTTAGTTTAATCACGAGAGAGCGCACGATACGTACCTTTGGCGTCAACCTTGAATATGCTCAGCAGAGCATTGTTCACCAGCGTGAATTCGGTCTGGTCGTCTACAAGGGAAGAGACGGGGACAACTTCAGTATGCACGGATTTTTCTCCGGGTCCTCCGGTTTTTCCCCTCCTCATTTAGAATCGAAGTGCGTTTTAAGTATTTAGCTCCTGCTATAAATTTCCACACGATGATAAGCCACTTTGTTGAGCTATCATTGGTGGCGAGGTCACTCCTGAAAGAGCTGTATTGCTCAGTGGGCTTTACCTGGTCAAATAAAAAATAGTTTTACGTACCCGCACACTCGCATGCACACAACGCCTTGTGACGACGATTCCGGGTGCATTCATTAAACACGAACAGTTGTTGCCTCGTTCAAAACGAAGTTCGCGTTGTGGACCCGCAACAAAGGTCACTATTCTATTAGGGGGTTCACTCGAACAGGTTAAATGACACTTCAAACCCGGCCTTTGAAAAAGACGTGACAACGTAAATGCGCCATTGCCATGCAAGTGTGTAATGGGCAGGTCTCCAAGTCAAATGCAAAATGAAATATGTTACACGCAGGTACATGTTCACCATATACGCTATACAGTACAGGGTACTGTATAGTATAAGCAATGATTGGATATTTGGCATCATGCACGATCGTTCTATGCAGGATTTATGAACGCAATCGCTGTATGAAGGTAGACATCAATACGAGATCATATGTTTCTATTAATGTGCTATAAATGGGGTAACATTAAAAGAATGGTTCATGGAATAATGGGGTGAAAGTGTAAATACTATCCATGTAGCGATTCAACTCATAGATTTGTCAATTAAAATCCATTCTTATAGTCACACTTAAGAGCATCAAATCCCAGGGACTCCGTTTGGTATCCAATGACTACGATAATTAATGTTCCTTTTAGGCAAATTGGACAAACGTAACTGCACAAAACAGATTGTATAAGGCAGACGATAGAAAATATTCTCATATCAAATCACAACAATCCATCAGATGGTGGTCGGATCATTACATCGTTACATCATGAGTCATCAATAGGTGTCCAGCTGAAAATACCTGAATGGTTCAGGGTTGGGGCTCCCAGGTATATTAACGTTCTTACCAACGCCCTCTAGCCCATTTACCACTTGCAATGTACAAAGGTTAAAAAAGCGTATCAAAGAATAAGAACCCACAGCTGAATCCCACTAAATCACAAGTTAATTTTGGAACATGAGACTCAATGCTTCGGTGTTTACTGCACGGTACAGGACAAGACTGGGACTGCATGGCACGTGCCATGGACAGCCAAACAAGTCGGTATTACTTTGCACGATGTTCGATTTAGAGCTTCAACAGTGCCAAACTTTAATTTACCTATTTTTTTTTTTAAAACATTGCTATATACAAGACAAGGTATAGCCGCAACCCGTGTGTATGTGGGAAGAAATAAATGTTCATGTAATGAATTGTAATCATTCAGCATTTCTCACCGGACTGCAGCAGCTGCGTGAGTACATCTGCTATCCTAGGCAGGTTCTCTCCCGTCGCAAACTGTGGCAGCTCTTTGATGGCCTGGCGGCGAATCTGAATGCAGAGAACTCCAACCGTTAGGTGTGAACTACTGGACATCTGTGGAAAGGAGCTTCATAGCTCATTAGATTCCTCCAGGATACATATTCTGAATATGTTATACTGAACAATGGCACAATATAACTGCATTGCATGGTGGAAGATTTCAACGAGCAACACAATAAAAAAATATTATTAAACAGACAAGTGGTTGACCTGCCAATACAAAACTATCAATTGGCATTTAGCATATGAACCTTGTGAACAAATATTTTCCAACAGCATGTTTAAGCAAAATCTTTGGGCTGGTTTTTACGACTGAATCTCATTACCAGAACGTAACCTATTCCATGTTTAACGATTGATTGATGATCCAACACTCACCAATTTACTGCAGTCCCTCGCTCACCAGTGACAAGTCTCCTGATTAGACTTCTATTGCTACGACCTTAGTTCCTATAAACTTGATTCATTGATCCCCTCCACCCACGTTGAAGACTATAATTGAAAACTAATTTATTTAAAACTGCTTTTTTGTGTTTAGTTTGTTGTCCTTGCCCCGCACCTCTGACTAGCATAATTGGTTATGTACGGGCAACAGAAGTTCAACATACATACTGCAGGACTAAACATGTATCTTCCTACACACTGTTCCACTTTGTAATTCCCTCCCATCATCTATTTTTCAAAACTCTTTTTATCTTGATGAATCCCAGAAATGTGTTAACTCATATCTATTACAACGGATTTATGGGCCTTTGGGTTCGTACTCAACTATGTTAATATTTAAAAGGCCATCCAGGAGCTGGGACCCCCTTACTCGCATATTTCACGGGGGAAAAGAAGGTCCACACTATAATAAACTCTGTATTTCACCAGGTAAGGCCCACTGAGCTATATAGCTCTCTTTTAGAAGCAACCCGACCACAAATGATAGCTCAACGAAGTGGCTTATCACGTGCAAATTTAAAGCAGCCAAATACTTTAAACGCATTTTTCTAAACGTGGAGGGGAAAAACGCAGAGGACCTGGAGAAAAATCCACGCGACCAATGGGAGAATGTACAAACTTCAAATACACAGGCGTCAGGGTCAGGATTGAACCCACGACCGCCTGCATACAAGGCGAGGTAGTTAACATCTCGCCACCTAGTCGCCCACACAGCCTCACCGAGACGTCCTCGTCTTCGCACAGGTCGAGTTGTGCGTTGATGGCATTCTCGGCCAGGTCCGCGAAGTGCTTGAAGAACTTGGGAATGAACTGCGCTGCCAGCCGCTTCTCCTTGGGGCCACCTTTCACGCCATCTAGGATAGCCTGGTAAGCATCCTTGTGCTGTGGGAGAAAACGTGGCGGCGTTAACATCGTGCCTAGGCCCCGATTCTCAACATCCGGGATGGATGATGGGAGTAAACAGGGAAAGATATTGGTGAGAGAAGTGAGCGAGCGAGTGAGGAGAGCACAAAGCAGACAGGAATGTTAGAGAGTGAGGCAGCCAGAGTGGGTAAAATAGCAGCGACAAGAGGGAACAGAGAGGAAAGACAACCAAGGAGAGAGATGAAGCTAGAATCAGCGTATACAGAGAGGTGCGCATGTGGAAACACAAATCTGGATGTCACCTGATAAAGCTAGTTGTAATTACCGGCGAAACGTCGTACTCCGATTGTAAACGTTCGTGGCTTGGCTCTCCAACACACCGGGGTGCTGTACTAGTAACGGGTGCTGTACTAGTAACGAATTGGCACGTTCTGTTTACGTGACAAAACCTAATTGGCTGTGCCCGGGTTTAATTACACATTTACATTTACGCGATCTAACCCAAAACATGTTAAACTGATCAGAAAGGAGACAACGCGGGGTGAACAGGCAGAGTGAATCCACAGACGGTATATCTCTACACCGAGTATGCAGGCGATGCAACTGCACCGGAGTACACAAGCCGGAGGGGCCAAGGACCATCCGCGACGATGATGGGGGGGGAGGGTAGAGATCCCCCAATTCATTCGTACACCAGTTGTGGCCCACGCCAACCACGCTATGCCACTGGATTTACATAGTTGACCCATACATACTTTTTTTTACACATGTACCTACCCAGTAGCTGTTATCTGATGCTGCTTCTGCGTTGGCAGTGGTGCACGAGCACAAATGATAAAACCACAAAAATCGTGTGTAACACTGCCTTAAGTCTCCACGACTCTCGAGTAGTAGTGGTGCAAATGCGGTCACCCAGAAGAGACCGTAGTAAGACGTTTAACGACGCAATGCCCCGACACCAAAACGCGAATGAGACATCACAGCGACGACACACCACTCCGCTACCCGTGACGACGTTGTTCTGGGGCTTGACCACCCGAATGTGAAATCAGCCGTACGAAAGATGAAGCCTCCACAACACATGTACCCTACATAGTGAAACGACAACAATAACAACAAAAAAACCAAACCCAGATTTTACATAGGAAATCCATTAAAACGAAACACAAGAGCTGACGAAGACTAGAGCGCGAGGCAGTGGCGTGGCAAGGCGGTCCAAGTTGCAGGCTTTCGTGCGGCGGATTTAGATGCGCAGCGACAACTACAATTCCACAGCCCGAATAAGAACCCGCGGGTTTACAACGCGATGGTGGAATCGTCGCGGGGCGGCCACCGGACCCATTGCACGCCGAGCATCCGAAGCGCGGCTCCATGCAAACACCACGCTGCTGCGCCACTTGTACACGGGTCGACTTTATTGTTGCGAGGAGACCTCGAAGCGGCGACACCAAAAAAAATAACAAGAGACGGTGGGAACCGAGGCGCGGGGAGGGGGGTGGAGAGAGAAAACGCGAGATACATGGGACGGTGAAAGAGAGGGGTAAACTGAGAGATGTACGAGAGATTAAAATTCGGGACTAACCCCCCGTGCAATCGGCCACACAAACATGGCCACCGAGGCCTACATCACCCACCCCTCACCACCACTGCCAACCACCACCACCACGACACCCCGCGCAGCCACCGCCGAAAGGTGCCGCGAGGCGCCTCGCCGCGACACGCCTCCTCCACCGCTTGCGTTCGGCCACGCGGCAGCGCGCGCTCGGCTCACCTCGACCACCTTGTCCTTCGCGTCGGCCAAGATGCCGTAGTTCTTGTACATGTCCTCTATGCTCGCCATGGTTGCCTCCTCAAGTGCTCGCCCGCCGTTATGCGAACTGCGCATGCGCGTGGGGGGAGGGGGAGCGAAGGAGGGGGGGGGGCGGGGCGAAGGAGGGGGCGGGGCGGGGTATCCCGGGGGGCGGGGTATCCCGTTCCCACGATCCACCGCGGTCCGATGGCCTTAATAAGAGGCCATTTTTTTGTTTTTTCGGTAAAGTCACGTAGGTAGAATAAAAATAAAAGAAAACAATTAAATCACGACGTTTCGGAGGCAACACAAGCTTCCGTCTTCAGGTGGAACAGTCACAGCAAAGATCGCTGCATCAAGTTATTTCGGTAAAGTCACGTGACTTTACCGAAAGAACCAAGAATATGAATCCCTGCAGTCACGAAAGCTTTAAATGAAAATTGTAAATGCATTTTTAATACATTCGTACGTGACGTCATGGAAGCAGTCTGTAAAAGGAGCCGCCTGCTGCTCCGGAGCTGCAAGTTGCCGACCCCTCCCCCCGCCGCCCCCACCCTTGGCCCATTGTAATGCACGTGCGGCCATCTTAGGTGGGGGTGGAGAGCTGGACACGGACACGTGGGCGGTGCAGTGACGTCGGAAGGAAAGGCGGCCATGTTGGGTAGGGAATAAGAAACCAGCCACTGGCAGGGTTGTCCATCTTACGTGAGGAAACAAAAGCACCCAAACACGTTCGTCAATAACTACCGTTCGGTGGCCTTCAAGGGGGAATATATAATAGGCGATGTTCCGGGCGCATAGACCACAGAGGTACATGTGATGTGTTATGTACTGTGAAGGGCTATCGCCCGAAACGTTGGCTGTTATATATTTGTACAAATGCATTGCATATATTTAAAAATCGTCCCTTTGCACCATTGCCGAGGCAGCAGCATCGCCAAATAAATTAGATTCGTCGTGGGAAATTGCTCACGTCGTGACGTTGTTACCAAGGCGTCCATCTTGAATGGGGAGAGGAACTCTCGGGCGGCCATCTTACTCGGGGAGAATGGAACTCGAACGCTTACGCAACGTGGTCACTCATGCTAATATTTAGCTACAGTATTAACTTTCTTTTTTTTCCAGGTAAGGCCCACTGAGCTATATAGCTCCTTTTCCAAAAAGTATCCGGGTCTTCCGGTCTTACCCTCAATTTCGATTATTTTGAGCAATCATTTGTGGCCAGGTCTCTTCTGAAAAATAAGCTAAAAGCTCAGTAGGATTTACCTGGTAGGACAAAAAAAGTTTTAGGTCTACTTTTTTACAGTCATTTGTTTACCTTTCGTACATTTTGCACTCATATCGTGTTTCGTATTGTTTGGTGTAACGTTTTGTGAAGCAGAGCTTTATATCCACAATATACGTTTTTTTGGGTTGAATCTCGCAAATATCTCGTTAAACCTGCCACTAACCAATTCGCAAGGGGTTGTCACGCATTTATATTGACGCGATCCAACCCAAAAACCTCACATCACGGATGATATCACTCGCGAATGCCTTCGCGGTTTAAAAAAATAAATAAAAGAGCTTTATAGCTCATCGGATTCTACCTTGCGCCTTTTACCCAATCACAAAGCTCTTAACTTTGCGCACCACGTGACGCCCCTTCCGACCAATCGCGTGCCCCCCCCTCTCTCCCAGGTCACTCCCTCCACTCCGACTCGCAGTCTTGAGTCGCCGGGCAGACGGAGCGAGCAGTCGACGTCCTCGCGATGCTCTCTCGCCTCTCTCGCCTCTCAGGTTGCCGCTTCTCGATCGCCTCACTTCTTCTCCCCTTCCCCTGGTTTCCCGCCGCCTCCCGGCCAGTCGTAGGGAGCTCCCCCCGTGCTCTCCTGCGGGTCGGAGCGATGGTTTCTTCCCCCTTGAGCTGACACCGCGGTGCCCTTGACAGGCCTGGCCCGCCTGTGTAGGCCTCGGGCCTAGGGTGGTGCGTTGCGGAACGTCAATGTCTTTTTTTGCGTAGAAGAGTACTTGTCGAGAAATGATCGACGGCGACTCGTCGTAGTTGTGGATGCACGTTATAATTCAATGTGTTCGTGTGCGGTATAAGCTTGCTGGGTTTAGTTGCAGTACAGGGTCACGGGAGTTTGGCGGTTTGGGGAGGGCCTTCATCCAGCAGTGGATTGGCCATGACCGCTGCCGATTACTATTATTATTTGTAATTACACCGTGCTTTGCCTAAGCTGTCGGACTCAAGTTAAAATCTGTGTTTTATGTAGTGAAGAAAAATGCTTTAAAGCTATGGCTCGGCTCGCCGTTATCGCCCTCGATTGACGTCACTGCATTTATGTGTTTGCTGAATGTATTGGAGCAACGCGTGTGCATGTGTACGTGTTGTATGTAGTTCGTGTGTGCTGACAATTGGTGGTCTTCATAAGTCATTGGAAGAGTGTGGAGGTCATCTTCGGTGTTAGGAGATGGGCGTTTGAAGCAAGGACTGCAATAGCACAATTCGGAATTTGTCAGCGTCTAAATAGTATTATCGGGCTAGACTGTTAGAGAGACGGGTATTAACAAATAAACTACATGCTAAACTTCTGTACTCGAAATTGTACTCAAAGGTGTATCCGAAGGATGCTAGTAATATCATGGAAGGGCTGTGTGAGAAATTTGGAAATTCGAAATGGAATGTGCCATTGAAGGTGTATGAAGGATAGGAGGGTAAGTGACTGGTAACTTGGAAATAGTGTGTGAGTGGAAGGTATTAAATCGATTAAATAGAATCGTAAGTAACTTGAAGGTTCGGAATAAAATCATTGTAGAAAAGGTTGTACATGAAATGAAGAATACGAGGTTGTGATGCGTATGCGAAATATGCAGGGTGAACATGGGCTGATTACAGAGAGTCGGGCAATGGAGTGGCACCCAGAAGTCTGTGACTAAAGGATGAGTGAGACCTAAAGTCTGGTTGTAGTGATGAGCGAATACTTGAAAGACGTGTTTAGTAAACAAGGGGAAGACCAAATGCGAGATGAATATACGGATTTTTAAAAAATATATAATGGGGTAGATTTGTATTTGACCTTGCAAATCGTGTTATGACCTGGCCGTTGCCGTGGGATCTGAAAGGATGCAAGAGTGAGGTTTGATGGCATCACTGACATTGGCTGTCACTCATGACATTGACCTCTTGAATTTGAATTAAATGTGCATATCTTCTGAACGCTTTGGAGACGCCTGGTGACTTGGGGCTGGGGGGATATCCCCTCCAACTCCGATCTGGTTGTCTCCTTTCTCCTGCTGAGTAAAGCATTTAGTAGACAGTGTGATTGACCTGTTTTTTTTTCCTTTTTCATTGACAGCGGCTGTAAAGCCTGCTACAGCTGCCAGGGTCTGGTAAGTTAAGAGCAAAATGTGTTGACCTATATGAAACAAACATAGAGTTGTCAAAATAATAATGACGAAGAGTTCGTTACATAAATGGAATATACTTCCCAAAAATCAAATGTATTTTAAGATGCTCAAATAATTAATATCAGTCTATTAATCAATTTGTATTGGTAACCCTCTGTCCTAATGACAGTCCGTTTTGAGTCTGAGGCTCTTTGGCACGTGCAAATATTTTTTTTACAACCAGTGGTTATCTACTCATGACAGTGCTCATCTTCTGTTTAACTTATTATTTGCTGCATGAATGACTGCTTAACTGCCTCACTGACTTGCGACCTCAATTACGTGCCTTACAGATTGCATGACCCACCGACTCATACCCTGACTCACTGACTAACTTACTGGATGCCCGACTATTTGGATAGCTGCCCGACCGAGTCACTAGCGGTCTCACTGTCTTGACTGCCTGCCTGTTTGACCGACTCGCTGGCGGACTGTTCGTCCTGCCCCTGCAGTGTGGTCGCTGTGCCCCGTAAACTACTGCACACGAGCAACCAGAGCCATGCTCCTGTGCCCCGGCTGCCTGAAACTGGCGGTAAAGTCCGCCTTGGCTTCGTCCCTGAGGAGTTATTCCAGTTCCTCTACCCCAAGATCGGCGTCACAGGTGCGTGAGTGAATGAGAACACTGATCCTAAGTAGCGAACTAAAGTACGTTTTGATGCTTTCAGAGAAAATAATCGTGCGTGTGAGACTCAATTTATTTTTATCCATGCTCTCCTAAACCATTATCTTTCTGAATTAATAATGCTGGCAACTATGGCAGCCACTACTTGCTTTGCTTAACAATCAAGATGATGTCTCTGGTTTGCGTTTGATCCACCTGTACCTCTTGCCATCTCTCGGTGTAGCTCAGGGTATGCACCTCCATCCTTTGTACCATACCCCTATTGTAAGCATGACAATGCATTGTACTTGATTAATCACTGAATTGCTACCTTTATGTGCAGGAGCTAGTTGGAATTGTCGACTTGTAAGACTGACAGATGACAACAGTTTGTCGAGGTCTTCATCCAGCAGTGGACTGATCCTGCCTGACGATAATGATTATTACCGTTGTGTGCTATAGTAATTCAGCCTTTGCTAAAAAAACTTTGTCTCTTTCCCTTTAACCTGACCTCCTTGATCCTTGGACTGCCAGGTCCGTACACCTTGGGTCTCGGGCTGCTGACCTACCTGCTCTCCAAGGAGCTTTACATCATCAACAACGAGACCTTTGCTGGCCTCAGCATGGCGGCAATCCTCATCTACATCATCAAGAAATACGGGAAAGATGTTGCCGCCTACGCAGACAAACTGAATGACGTATGTTGTAGAATGCTTGAGCAAGCATTTATTTATTTAACATACGTCTCAAAACAAAGACCCCTCGTGTAGCCTTTAACAGACTTGTGGGGCAAGTGCTGTTAGCGAGCACCTACGAAGGCCAGAGCAGTATTCGAGGGAGTCGGTGGCCAGTGCCATGTCCGACCGTTTTTGTCTCCCCAGTAGGGATGCTTACACATCGCACCAGGTGCTCATTTGAGATTTAGTCGTGCTAGGAGAGGTCCAGGACCAGTTAAGATAATCATCACTGGTGTTGGCCGTGAGTGGGAATCGAACTCGGATCGCCGAGTTCGCAGTGCGCTAATCGCTGCGCCATCACTCCCCACGTATAGACCACCATGAGTGAGTGATTTTTGCAATAACAATTGTGT